GCGTTCCCGCCTCCTCTCCCGCCATCCTCAGCAACCAGTAACCTCTCTCGCTCTCTCTCTCTCTCTACCGATTTCATCAGATTTCGATATCCCAATTAGCTTTTTATCCGATGACCTAATTCTTGACTTTATCATGCATTTACTTAATTTATGTTAATCGGTTAGGGCAACTTGCATTTGATTTATCGTTAGGGTTTTGTTAATGCGTTATCTTACCCTAAATTATTTTTATGTTTAGGGTTATCGCGCTTTAGAACTTATTACTACCTGTTTGAGATGAATTATTTTTACTATTTTATATCGTGTGAAGTTTTAGGTGATATTACCATCGGTGAAATTAGTGGGTCTATCTGAGAGTAAAAAAAAAAGTCAAAAAAATTTATTATCTGGGGGTTTATCTGCCAAAATCAAACTACGGAGTAATAAGTTCGAAAGTGGGGTACAACTGGGGGTCTATTTGCAACTAACTCTTATGTTCAGAACCGGATTCGATATTTGACCCCTTTGTTGTAGCAGATTAACAAATATTGGAGCAGCTTTGGTCGAGTTATAGCAGATTGACACAGATTTCGAGTATAAAAGTTAATCAGCTAAGGTACTTTCGGGGTGTGAATGATTTTACAAGTATGTGGGTATAAAAATAATTCATGGTAAATGAATATTGGCTTAAAATAAAAGAAAACCCTTGTTTTTATTCGAGAGAAAAACAAAATCTTACCCTCTTTGAAGATTTATGTAGAAGCAACAACATAAACCATTACAATCACATACTCCTGATGCAAAAGTCTAAACAGTATGAACTAAGAAAAATACAAACTATGCATTAGTAGGAACCTGAAGCATGTCAATTCCCTCAAAAAATCTAACTTTTTTTATCCCTCTTCTTCAACAATTGCAATCCTAAATAAATATGAATTGTCAGTAGTTAAGATGGTATCCCTAATCAATAAAATCCAACATAATCCTTATAATTCCCATCATCAACAAAATAAAATCTAATGCCACGTTTAGTACTCTCACTCTTCTACGTCGTCCTTTTCCAGAAGCTAGAAGAATTGGATTGGGATCCTCTACTCATCAACAGTGCCTCCTAATATTTGCTAATGCATCTTCACCTTTCATTTTTGTGGGACCATCTTTCATTTTGTGCTTATCCACAAAATGAAAGGTGAAGATGCATTAGCAAATGTTAGAAGGCACTGTTGATGAGTAGAGGATCCCAATCCAGAAGAATTATCTACCATCCATTTTGTCCACCTTTCTTCACTCATTTGGTGGATTGATGCAATCATCATGAAGCAAGTTAAAGACTGACCTGACCACTTTCCAGCTAATCCACTGTCCAGATAGCTCATGGGAATTGATCATTACTGCTTTTGAACAAATAAGTTAAAATTCAAATTACCTGGACTCTGAGTAAAGATATCATTGAGCAAGATTTGAATTAAAAAAAAAAACTAGAATGCCCAAGTCCTGTAATAAGATCTCCTCATCTCCTTTCTTTCAAGTCCTATGGACATCAGATAAAACAAAGAATTAAAACAAATATGAACTTGGACGGACTTTTTTGGCAGATAGAGCACTTTTTCACCTATTTTTGTCATCTCTAATTTTAACTACTGATTATGATTAGTCAATTTTGATTCTGGTATAAATTTGTGTTTGAAGGTTTTCATTCTTCCTTTCTTTTTTTGTTTTTAAAATTAAAATGACTATTTATTAAACATACATAATGAAGTATTTCGCTTTAGTAAGGCATGTTTCAGGATGTCCTATTGACACATCGACTGATATCTTTCAGCCACAGGTTTAGTATAAAGGGACGCCTTTATCCAGCAATTCTACCTGTTGAAAGCAAGGAGGTTTCAGGAAAGGTTTGTCATGAAGCATTCAAATCTTTTCTTCAAAATGTGATTATCACGCTGCAAATTGGACCATAAAACTTTGAAGAATGATTCTATTCCGTAGAAATTTTAGTGCTATCAAGCATGAATCTTGTATGCACACAGTGGTTATACATCATTCTTTTCATACATACATTCTACTACCATTGTAATCAGTGTGTTGTTGATGATCGTGTAATTTGCAAGTCAACACGCTAGGTACAACTTCATCACAGATTATATAGGGAAGAGATGATAAGTAAGTGAGAATGAGAGGGTTTTCTTGTTTTTGGTCTTCTAGCCTTTTTATTATTTTGCAACAACAAACCATGTTAGTGGTGCAAAATTGAATTTAGTGCTCAAACTTCCCGATTCTGTTTTAGTTTATTTATTTGTAGTTCTTCTGTTTTTTGTGTATATTTATTTCTTGGTACCTTCCTTCTACAGGTTCTCCAGGGAATTACAGATCTTGAGTTAGATGCCCTTGATGCATTTGAAGATGTGGAATATAAGAGAGAAACTGTTGAGATCTCTTTGATTGTAAGAATATAGAGATTACTATTATTACTGACTTATGCACTTATGTTTCTGTACTATTAGTAGTAAATTACCCAACTACTGAATTAGTATCGTTTGTCACTGTATTAAAATGCATGAGAGTACAAAAGATCTAATTTTCTTGCTAATAAGTAATAGAGCTATTTACTACCAGTATTGGATTTGTCACGCAACATCACTAACTTGATGCTAAAAATTGCTTCTTTTATCGGTCCTTTTAAAACTAGCAATTTTGAGACAAGGAAATTGTTTCCTAGAATGATTTCTGAAATGCTTTGTACTGCTATCATGAACAAGGAGTTTTTTCCAAACATTTAACTGTATTACGGGTTATTCGATCTTTCTACATTTAACACTAATTTTTAACTATTATTTGGAAGCAGATACTAGATAAATAGACCTGCTACTAACACCAACCATACTTATGACACAAAAAAAGAAGAGCTAAAAAAATTATGGTTTATTATAGATTGTCGTGCATTTAGTATTTTAAGCATTACAGGAGCGGCTATCGCCGCCTCTGAATTGTTAATAAAAGAGGCATCTCAGTTTTTTCACCGAAATCATACACGTGTTGTTTTATTGAAATATTGACTCTTCAGCTAATCAAATGTTTCTATAGCTAATTCAGAAAAAAGAAATATAATTCATTTGATCTTCATGCAATCACTATAAAAGAAGGAAAATTGAACATTGCAGGATACTTCAGAGGAACTACAAGCATATGCATATATTTGGGCAGATAAAGATGATCCTGACCTGTATGGCGAGTGGGATTTTGAGGTGAGTACTGTGTCTGCATAGATAATTTTCTTGTCCGTATTTGTACTTTCCCTTATACTAGTGTGCACCCCGTGCAAAACACGGCCCCTTTTTTTCCGCTACATTAATTCTTTTTTAAAATGCTATAGTATTTTTTTGCAAAAGGATACAGCAATTTTTAAACGCTACAGTGTTATGTTTGTGCTACAGTACTATTACTACAGTAATACTATAGTGCGAATAGTGAATCTTTGGATCGAGTAGACTCAGCAAAATGGATATACTGTTCTTTTCAAGCATTTAATAATGAAACTCACAGATAATAACTACCTGGTGTCCAGGCATCTTGATTTAAATTGTTATTTTCTTATTGGCGCCGAATAATTTCTTTCTTGCTCGTCATGAAACGGATCAAATATTTTTTGCAGCAGCACACCATTAGAAATGAAATCAGAGTTCGGGAGAATTAGGAAATAGTAATTTTACAAATGCTGAAACCGGGAATTTCGGAAAGGTGGTTCAAATCAAAACTGGAGAACATGTAGAAAACAAACCATGATCAGATCTGGTTGAGGATGAGTGCTGGAGCAGAGGGAACCGCTGGAGCAGAGGGAACGCTCGTGAGATGAGGCCGGAGGTAAATGCAGAATGAGATCTGGTTGGGTCTTTGCGAGAAACCCAAATGACTCATGATTTGTTTGCATCCTTGCACTGTCAGGGTTCCAGTTCAGTAAAATCACACACTAGCAACATTAAAATATTATTGAAGTAAAATCACATCTTCGACACTCTCCAACAGCCTAATGATTGAAACAATGACACCGTTACACAACACTAGTTTAAAAAATTTATGGGGGATTGTTGATAATTTTTTAATCTAAAATGGATGATGCCGTCTTCTTTGAAAGAAAAAGAAAAAAAACAAAAAGGTGGGTCCCACATGATTAAAATCAAATGAAACGTTTTTTGAAAGGAAACAAAAGAGAAGAAAACGTGATCAAACACCACCGTTCTGCCTAATTTTCGTTGAAAAATTAGGACGTTGGTCCCTCAATGCATAGTAAAATAATATTATTTTATTGTGCATAGTATTTTTCCTAAACGCTATAAATAGACCTCAAATCCTTAAGGAAAATTCATTCCAAAAACAACAATCAATATATACAGATATATATTGTAGAATAGCTAGTGCTAGTAGGAACAGTGCATAGACCGAGAAGGTCTTATAGATCGAGGAGATCTTTGCCTGAGGAGATTGAGGAGATCTTTTGCCTGATAGATCGAGAAGATCTTTACCTGATAGATCGAGGAGATCTTTGCCCTACAGATCGAGGAGATCTTGACAGTACTGGGTTGGTGCACACCAGAGTACTGGTCTGCTGTTCCTGGAAGCAATTTGGCCTTGGGATCCTTGCACCGGAGTAGGCCAAATAATGCTTTAAGCACAGCGTTTTACAAACGCACAGCAGCTGAGTTGGAAAATATTAAATTACTGTACTTCAATTTTCTGTTCAATTTTTACTGTTTTATATCTGTATTATTCCAGATTTAACCACAGGCGCCAACAATCTTAAAGCATTATTTTGATCTACCATGGATCCTGCGAGGACTCTTGGAGTGGACTGTCTTAAGTTAGAGAATTTTGACGGTTCTAACTTCAACGCATGGCGTCGAAAAGTGATCTTCGGGATGCAACTCCTGAAAATCTACTATGTGGTTTCTGAGGAGAAACCTGACTCTGAAGAAGACTCTGAAATTGAAGCCTCTTGGGCTAGAGATGATCACTTCTGCAGGAGTTATCTTCTTAACTGCCTGGCCGATCATCTGGCAGATGCTTACACCAACAAGCCCTCTGTAAAGGAAATCTGGAATGCTCTAGAGGACCAGTACAAGGATGAGGAGAAGCTGTCCAAATCTCACCTCATTGATAAATTTCTGGACTTGAAGTTCGAAGATGATACTGATGTTTTGCCTCAAGTCAAAGAGCTTGAAAAGCTTGTTATGAAGCTGAAGGATGAAAAGATCAGTCTTTGTCACACCTTTATTTCTGGTGCAATTGTCAACAAGCTTCCTCCATCTTGGATATCATTCTCCACTGATATTCGAAGAAGGAAAAGACAGGTGACTCTGTCTGATTTGAAGAGGTTCATTCGGATCGAGGACGAGACTCAGACTCGCACGAAGACTGAGCTCATTGCTAAGCAGAAGGCGTCTGCTAATATGGTGGCTGCTAACTCTGAAAAGGGTAATAATTCATCTTTCAAGAAAAAGAAGTCTTTCAACAGAAAGAAGAACCAGAACCCGAAGAACCTGAACGTTCAGAAGAAGGAGTTCAAGAGGAGCGGCAAATGCTTCAACTGTGGGAAGCAATGACATTTTTCCAAAGACTGCAAAGCACCAAAGAAGGAAACAACACACAATGTCAATCAAGTTGATGATTGTGTGGCTATGCTTCTCCAGGTAACAACTCCAAGCAACATCTCTAGTTGGTGGTTAGATACGGGTGCTACTTGTCATGTATGCTCCAATAGAGATATGTTCTCTTCTTATGTTGCTACCAAAGAGAACGTATCAATGGCTGATCATTCTGTGGTTCCGGTTCTTGGAACTGGGACTGTGGTGCTGACTCTTTCTTCGGGAAAGACTCTCATATTGAAGGATGTGAAACACGTTCCCTCAATTACCAAAAACTTAGTCTCTGGAAGCATGCTGTGTGATGCAGGCATGAGGCTGGATTTTCAAGGAGGAAATGCTGTATTATCCTTCAAGAAAATGTATTTTGGCAATGCATATCGTACTGATGGCATGTATAAAATCAGTACGAGTGCACCCAACCCCGTTGTAAATGAAGTATCCTCTTCTGCTTACTCCTCTGTGTTATGGCACAATAGACTGGGACATGTAAATTATAGAAAGCTATCCAGCATGGAGAAGTTAGGATTACTTCCAAAATGTGGGGGTAACAAACATGAGAAGTGTGAAGTTTGCGCGCAAGCAAAGCTGACAAGGAAGCTATTTTTAAGCGTCACGAGGAGCACCAAACTGTTGGATCTGATTCATTCAGATACTTGTGACTTCAAGAGCTTCGTCACTCGTGACGGCAAGAAGTACTTCATCACCTTCATCGACGACCATTCTCGCTTCTGCCACGTTTACCTGCTGAAATCTAAAGATGAAGCTTTCAGCAAATTTGTCGAGTTTCGGACTCGAGTGGAGAAGCAGCTTGGACTGCAGATGAAAAGACTCAGGAGCGACAGAGGAGGAGAATACCGATCCAAGGAATCGAAAGCATATTTTAAGGAGCATGGAATCATTGCAGAAACTACTGCTCCGTATTCTCCCCAATCCAATGGAATTGCAGAAAGGAAGAATCGCACATTGACCGAGATGGTGAATTCGATGCTGATCACATCTGGTCTACCTACCTGCTATTGGGGAGAGGCTTTACTAATGGCAAACTGGATTCTGAACAGAGTACCCTACTCCAAAACTGATAATACTCCTCATCAGTTATGGTTGGGATATCTAGATTCTTTGGATAATCTCAAAGTGTGGGGGTGTCTCGCATACGTTCGAATACCAGATATCAGAAGGCCTAAGCTCGTACCAAAGGAGAACAAATGTGTATTTCTTGGCTTTGCTGGAGATAGCAATGCGTGCAGGTTCCTGGACTTTGGAACCAACTCCATCATTGAAGCTCGGGATGCAGAATTCTTTGAGGATAAGTTTAACAAATGTAGCAGAGAATGCTAGTACATCAGATGCACAAGAGGAGCCAGTCAATGATGAAGGAGTTATCGAACCATCTTCCAAGCGCGTCAGAAGACAGAAAGATTTTGGAGATGACTTCATCACCTATAATGTGGAAGGAGATCCACAGACTTTTCAAGAAGCAATGAAGTCAACAGACGTTCTTCTGTGGAAAGAAGCTATAGATGATAAGATGGATTCATTGATCCAAAATCACACTTGGAAGCTGGTGGACGTACCTGAAGGTGCAAGGCCTATCAGTTGCAAATGGATCTTCAAGAAGAAGCTCTGTCCTGATGGTACTATTGAAAAGTACAAAGCAAGGCTGGTGGCAAAAGGATTCTCTCAGAAAGAAGGTATAGACTTCTTTTATATTTATGCACCAGTTTACAGGATCACTACCATCAGAGTGCTTATCGCATGGGCGGCGATTAAAAGGTTCATCATACATTAGATGGATGTGAAGACTGTCTTTCTCAATGGAGATCTCACAGAAGAGATTTACATGAAAAAACCAGAAGGACTTGATGCTCCAGCTGGTAAGGTTTGTAAACTTATTAAGTCATTATATGGACTTAAGCAGGCACCAAAACTCTGGCATGAGAAGTTCGATGGGGTTGTTCGCAACAATGGGTATCAAGTCAGTGAATCTGACAAGTGCCTATATATCAAGGTCGCTGAAGGAAAGGTGGTGGTCATCTTCCTCTATGTGGATGATATGCTCATCATCGGGAGTGATTTGGAGATAGTAACATCTACCAAGAAATTTCTCTCGGCACAGTTCAGCATGAAGGACCTTGGAACTGCGAACGTGATTCTCGGAATCAAAATCATATACTCTATCGGCACAGTTCAGCATGAAGGACCTTGGAACTGCGAACGTGATTCTCGGAATCAAAATCATATACTCTAAAGAGGGTATTAGATTGTCCTAATCTCATTATGTCGAGAGCATGCTAAGGAAGTATGACTACTACGACCTGTCAGAACTGTCAGTGCCATATGATAATAACAAGAAGCTTCGACCGAACACTGGAAGACCAGTAGAGCAGCTGAGGTACTCAAAGATCATTGGGAGTCTTATGTACGTGATGAGCTGCACAAGGCCAGATATAGCATTCGCTGTAGGAATGCTTAGTAGGTTCACAAGTAATCCTGGAAAGCTTCATTGGGATGCTGTCCAGAGATTGATGAGATACTTGAAATGAACTACATGTCTGGGTCTATTCTACACTGGATATCCAGGTGTAATCGAAGGCTATTCAGATGCGAGCTGGTGCTCAGAACCAGATGAGTGCAGATCTACTGGAGGATTTGTCTTCACCATGAGTGGAGCTGCCGTCTCATGGAAGTCTAAGAAGCAGACCATGATTGCACAGTCATCGATGGAATCTGAATTCTTCGCACTCTGTGTTGCAGGAGATGAAGCCGAGTGGCTCAGTTGTATTCTCCGAGACCTTCCATTGACGGAATTACAAGGTGCAATTACTATCTATTGTGATAATCAAGCGGCGAGTGCTGTGGCAGCAAACTCAATGTTCAATGGAAAGAAGCAGACCATTCGTCTGAAGCATGGCTATTTGAGAGAGCTCATTTGTCAAGGAGTCATCTCTGTGATTGACGTTCGATCTTCAGAGAATGTGGCTGATCCTTTGACTAAGGGTCTGAAAAAGGACATAGTTGAAAGGACGTCTGTTGGAATGGGTCTTAAAGTTTTGTAAGTCTTACAAATACTTACCATGTTTATTAAGTTATTAGTTCAAAACTTATGCTACTAATAATAAAATAGTCGGTTCAAAAATTAAGTAAGATTTGTAAAGTTTGGTGAGTCTTACAAATATTTATCATTTACATCTAGTTATTAGTTCAAAGCTTATGCTACTAATGACAAGACAAATGGTTCAAAAGTCAAGTATCTAGTTATTAGTTCAAAGCTTATGCTACTAATGACAAGACAAATGGTTCAAAAGTCAAGTAAGATTTATAAGTGAAAGAGTTTAAGTTTTCTTGCTACTAATGACAAGACAAATGGTTCAAAAGTCAAGTAAGATTTATAAGTGAAAGAGTTTAAGTTTTCTTAGATTAGTCAGTGTCTAAGGCAAGGTTTGGGGGTTGTGTAACGCGCTCCGCAAGGAACGAGGTACTTAATTGATCTTTGATCAACCTCTAATACTATCCTTACCTGGCTGAACTACCCGAGTAAAACTTTGAACCTAGAATCCTATCATGTAAAGGGGATGGTTGTTAAGCCTTAATGAGTCTAAAGCATTTCGGATGCGGGGTGTTAGATAGGAAACACACCTAAAGGACTCACCTAGAATCCTATCATGAGAAAGGGTGGCTCTTAAGCCTTAATGAGTTCAAAGCATTTCGGATGCGGGATGTTTGATAGGAAACATGCCTAAAGAACTCACCTATGCATGGGTGGAGATTTGGCCGTCTCCTATGGTGTCTTGTGAAAAGATACCTAGAGCCCTAGCAAAAACCAGGACATGCACAGGGTCATAAATGTGCAAAGGCAAAGGCAAAGGCAAAGGCAAAAACAAGTGTGGTTCCAAGTAAAAACTACCACAGATAAGTTTGATCTTGTGTGATCGCTGGATTTTTAGACATGTGCTGGTTCAAGTCTTTACGACACCATGCACCTATCTTTTATTCAGTTGGTCTAAAGGGGATTCAAGTCCTTGTGACATCTACCTTATGCACAACGATTGAAACAATGGCACCGTTACACGACACTAGTTTAAAAAATTTGTGGGGGATTGTTGATAAATTTTTTTAATCTAAAATGGATGCTGCCGTCTTCTTTGAAAGAAAAAGAAAAAAAAAACAAAAAGGTGGGTCCCACATGATTAAAATCAAATGAAACGTTTTTTGAAAGGAAACAAAAGAGAAGAAAACGTGATCAAACACCACCGTCCTGCCTAATTTTCGTTGAAAAATTAGGACGTGGGTCCCTCAATGCATAGTAAAATAATATTATTTTATTGTGCATAATATTTTTTCTAAACGCTATAAATAGACCTCAAATCCTTAAGGAAAATTCATTCCAAAAATAACAATCAATATATACAGATATATATTGTAGAATAGCTAGTGCTAGTAAGAACAGTGCATAGACCGAGAAGGTCTTATAGATCGAGGAGATCTTTGCCTGAGGAGATCGAGGAGATCTTTTGCCTGATAGATCGAGGAGATCTTTGCCTGATAGATCGAGGAGATCTTTGCCTGATAGATCGAGGAGATCTTAACAGTACTGGGTTGGTGCACACCAGAGTACTGGTCTGCTGTTCCTGGAAGCAATTTGGCCTTGGGATCCTTGCACCGGAGTAGGCCAAATAATGCTTTAAGCACAGCGTTTTACAAACGCACAGCAGCTGAGTTGGAAAATATTAAATTACTGTACTTACAGCGTTTTACAAACGCACAGCAGCTGAGTTGGAAAATATTAAATTACTGTACTTCAATTTTCTGTTCAGTTTTTATTGTTTTATATCTGTATTATTTCAGATTTAACCACAGGCGCCAACAAGGTGTGCTCCTAGAGATTAGCACAGATTGGTTGATTTTGAGACCGTGGTTAGCCCCTTGCATAGTGTTTCTAGTAACTCATTGAAAGAGCTCAAGAGCCTCTGGTTTTCTTTTTGCGTAACGTAGGGAGGAGTAAGGAGTCCTGCCTTACTTCTTTTAAGATATACCAGGTGTGATGGTGGTGTTTGACAACTCCTTGCAGCGCGTAGTAACTCATTGAAAGAGCTCAACAAGATTTTCTTTTCTTTTTGCAAAATATAGGAAGAGATTAGGAGTATTTTTTTGGAGGATATACAGAGAAAGTTACCGTCTCTCTCTCTTATTCAACATTGGACTAGGTCAGAGGAAGTTACCATTTATCTCTCTTATTCAACTTGGGACTAGGTTCTGAATGAAGTCAAGTGCAACTTCTTGGCAAAAGACGAATTATCCGATTAAAACCCGCCTCGATGGAAATTCCTGTAATAGGAAGCTGTCTATTGTGCCTATTTCCGTTGTTTTCTGACGTTTTGGCTCTTCTTCTTCTTCTTCTTTTGTCATTTCCTCGCTCGAGGAGAATCTGACTTAGTTCCTGTACAAACGTTAACAGGAGTGGAAGAGGCTGCACATGAAGGAATTTCTTGCAATGACACAGTCATTCTTGGAGGAGACTGAACGATCAGAATCAACATCGAGAGTACGAGTGTTTACGGAGATGGAGCCACCAAAATCACAAGACTGAGGGTATCGATCAGCATATAAAACCCCTACTGCTGCTGTTCACGAGCCTTGAAAATGGCTGTTCTTAATTATTAGATGTTTCTATTGGTTTTTGATAGAGAACTATAGATGAAATAATGCCAGCTGCTACGACAAATTAACAGAAGAAGCTCGATGTTAACTTGCCATGCGTATGAAAAGTTAATTACGCGCATGCATGCCTTTAAAATTCATTCAGACTTAAATCCCATATCTTCACGCTCACCATATGTATCAGGTTTACGAACACGTGCCTTTTTATATCCTGGAAAACTACAGATATCTATACATGTAATATGTGTGAACGTCGATTGAATAAATAATCTCCAACCAAATCTGCAGGCTGATTACGTTCATGATAGATATAAGATGCGTATGTGTGGTTCACTTTGAATGGTGGCCAGATGTGGGCCTTACAAGGGCCGAGTGTGTGGTCCACGTGGCATTAAGGACACAATATATATCTCCATCACATTCACATGCTCTCAAATCTCCGGTCTCTTTTCTTTCTTTCTTAGGTCATTGAATCGCCGTCCTCTTTGAGAGGCTGTTTGGTTAGTTAAAAAATTAAGGAAATCAATTATAACATATTTTTTTATAATAGTTTTTTTTTTTTTTAATGTTTGGTTCACTTTTTAAAACCATGAAAAAAAAGATGAGATGAGATGAGTTGTCACCATGTTATTACATAATGTAACTTATTTTTAAGGAAACTCATTTCACGATTTTTTATAATTATTCTATAATTCTTCGCCTTGTTGTCTAATGTCTATGGGCTGATGGCCGGTTAGAATTGATTGTAAAATGTCGCTTTATTTTCTATAAAGCATCCCTTACAATATATTATATTTCAATTCCATCCCCTGCCCTCATTTTAATAAGATCAAAGTTGCAGCCTGGTCTTTTACAGCGAGCGCCTTCATGGTTTCCATCTACACCCACCAATTATCAGCCCCATCCATCACGCGTCCACACATCCCCATACATCATCCCCCATTCACATTCATTGAACCCGGACGCTTTCTCGTCTCAGTACGGTGGTAGCAGTATCTCCAACGCGTGAACTTGTACTTGTTTTGAACGTCGACAGTTCAAAATCAGTTTTTTTTAGGAATAATAATTCAAAATCAGTTGAAATCTCAAGTTCATTGAACATAGACGCTTTAACAAACCAACGACCGGGCAACTGTTCTGGTTCTAGCTTTTAAATTACTTTTGCATCATGGATTCTGAAAAGATCCCATAATGGATGTGGGTTGTATACGATAACTCTGTTGATCCTCAAATATTGGGATTGAGATAACGAAGGTTGATTGACAAAATATATAAATAATTATTATTTTATCAAAATAAATTGCAGATAAGCTACTCCACCTTAATTATCTGAAATTTATCCTTAATATTACTATTACGCACTCAAAATCAAGGGCAGGAAATGTCCTAACCAGCGAGTTCAGTTGAATTCAGATTCCATAATCTTTTAGACCTTATTTCTAAATCAATTCTATGACGTCGTTTAGGCATATAGTGTCAATTGTTTTAGATTTCTTCACAAGCATAGAATGCTCTGCTGTCTTCTACAAGGAGAAATATCATGTGCGCCCGGGGTATATAACATTAAATGTGAACCAAATGAATCTTAACCCTTAAATTATTGGACTTCGAGGTTCGTACACAGAATATAGAGATTGACATCTTTTAGATGCGCATTTAATATCATAATCAATTTCATCGCATATTTTTTTGTTATCCAAAAATAAAATAAAATTTAATAACAGGAAACTTCTCCAGTGTTCCCTAGTTAAATACAAAATCAATGTCTTAAATGGAAACCACTTCAACAGGTGTGTTTGGTAATCAATGTGTTTTTTTTTTTGTAAAAAACACCATGCCATGGTGTTTCTTTTTCAAATGTGTTTTGAAAACATCATTTTTGTCAAACTAGTTTGACCTTTTATCTAGCGGTAGAAGGGCGGGCGGCGGCGGCGGCGGGCGGCGGTGTGGCGGCGGCCGGACGACGGGCGGCGGACGAACGACGATTGTCGCTACCAACGGGTAGCCAGCTAGTGGCGGCTGGCTCGGTGTAGGGCTCAGTCCTAACGCGACGGGCGGAGCGCGAAGGTGAGGGTTGGCCAGCAGGGACGCGCGGCGACGGCGGTCGCGGCGCGGGTCGAGGAGGCGCGCGGTGCGGATGGCCGCGGTAGGTGCCGACGACGGCGGACGGTGTCCGCGGGGTGGCGCGGGCCGGCACCGGCGAACGGGCGAGCGGCGCAATGGCTTAGATGAAAAAAAGGAATCTCAAAACACATTTTTAAGGTGTTTTGAGAAAATTGTTTAATTTTTAGATTTTATAAAGGGACAAGTCAAAAAACGCCCCGGTTGCCAAACGTGTTTCTTTATTTTTGTTGAAAAAAAAGAAACGGTAAAAACACCACGGTTGCCAAACGCTTAACAGTTTTGAACCGTCTATAACAATAGATGTAATTAAAATAAAATACGAGGGGCTAGAAATAATTAACCATGCGTGAAGCATGTGATCATGCATACGTGGCATCCTAACCCGCGCTCGTCGCGTTATAAATGAACCCCAAACGCTCCCCCTCTCCTCCACCCTCAAATCCCCCGAGCAAAAAATTTCTAGAGAGAGAAAGAGAAAGAAGGGGGAGAGAGAGATAGAAGAGAGGGACGCGCTCAAGATCTAGGGTTTCGACGTTCGGAAACCCTAATAAATCTTTCGTTTCTCTCTTCGATCAAGAGCCTCTCTCTCCTCATCCCCAAATTTCTCGGGTTCGGATCCGAAACCCTCGTTCAGGTCGATTCTTCGGTGAGACATCGCCACAAATTTCAATTTTTCCCCCTTCTCCTTTGGCCCTATTTGTAGAATGCATTCGATCTGCTTTCTGTTGTGATTAATTAAGCTTGGTGATTACTTTCTATTATTACAAATCGAGAAATTTTAATCTTTTTTTCTTGTATCTTGGTCTGGGAGTTTTTTTTTTTTTGGTTAACTTTTGGATGAACTTTAACCCTTTCTCCAAAGAACTGTGTTTTTTGTAAATTTACAAATGAGGTCTTTTTGGGCTATACGAAGACTTATGTTGAAGGAAAGTTGGTATCTTGTTAGGTCCTTTTTGTTCTACCGGGCGTGCTTGCATAGCGTACTGGGATTGTTAATACTTTCTTAGTTCTTTATTTGCGAGTTGGTAAACTCGTTTGCTCAATTTAAGTGAAAATGAGGATTGCTTATATGCACATCTGAAACATTGCAGGAAAAGAAAGGAAAAGGCAACAATGGTGCTGTGGGTTTTTGGTTATGGATCGTTAATCTGGAATCCCGGCTTTGATTTCGATGAAAAGATCATTGGTTTCATCAAGGACTATAGACGTGTGTTCGATGTTGGTAAGCTACTGCTTCTCAAACAAGAGGTTTCTTTTAAAGTTATTATCTCAGAGTAAGAATGTAATGTTGTTGGGTTTGTTTGTGTGCTCTTTTTTCAGCCTGCATAGATCACAGAGGTACATCCGAGCATCCAGCTAGAACCTGCACCTTGGAAGCCAAAGAGGGAACAATTTGTGTAAGTGAACCATGCACATTAGCAAATCCATATAATGCTATTAGATAACTGACTTTGGTGTAGACTAATTGTTTGATTCTTGCTACTTTTGGAACCTTATGAGTATTTTTCCCATTTTCAGTTGTCAGTGACTCCTGTTCCTTTTTCAAATATCGAGGAAAATGACTCGTGTAGAGAGTTGGCTAGTATTTCTTTTGAAACAAACACAGTTATCATCCTAGAAACTCTTATTCCTAATGTTACTCTTGTTTACCTTGTACTACTGGTATGCTTTGATGTTTCCGTGAATTATCTTCTTACCGCTGGAACATATGAAATATGTTGACCTCTTCTTCGCACATGCTTTTATCCAATTTATCATTTACTCATCTATTCCTTGTCGGTGGAACATCTTCGATGCAAATGAATTAAGAGAAATGCTACCATTGATTTTCTTTAAATTGCTAGTAACTCAACAATCTTCTTCTATAAGATTAGAAGTTTGAAGTATATTTGGGTTAACTACTTTATTTGCAAATGCTTCTTTTCCTTCACCGGATGAAATATTTGCACTCATTTATTAATTTGTATTTGCACTGCGTTTTTTAACTTGTAATTGGTTATCAATCAGTGGGGTGTTGCATTCTGTGTCAAAGGAGGCATCGAAAAAGAAAGAGCAGCAATGCAGGTACTGCAAATATATGCATCATTTTTGTTGCTGACATGCTAAATTAGTGATCAAGACTTAATGGATATTTCATCTTCTTAGTATTTGGAGAGACGGGAATGTGAATATGACAGAAAGGGATCTGTAGACTTCTACAAGGTATGCTACCTAATTTGTTGGTCCTTACTTTCTTCCATCCACCAATAATTTCTTGTTATTATATTCTTATAATTAATAGCTCCTTGTTGCTATATATTTATCCTCATGTGTTATATTTTTTTCCCTTCTTCAGGAGGGAGATGATCTCTCGCCAGCTGTGACAGGAGTTCTAGTGTAAGAAGTCTATCCTGCCTGAGCATCTATACATTTTCATTTTTCCTTTCCTGCACTGGCAAAGAGCAAAACCTAGGACTACCTGTTTTTACTATTGTTTAGTGGAAGAAAAGCCTAATTTTCTTATTTCTACAGGTTCACTTCTACTCCTGACAAGGAAAATAACAAATACTATCTAGGCCCAGCCCCATTAGAGGAGATGGCCAGGTGAAGCAGCAAGCAAACCTCCCCCATAAAATTTTAAATTCCACATTGCATGATCAATTTCTGGTCTTGTTTTCCCGCACTGAATATGCTTCCACCATTCTGCCTTCCAGGCAAATTGCTACTGCTCATGGACCTTGTGGGAATAACAGGGACTACCTATTTCTGTTGGAAAAAGCAATGTTTGATATAGGTATGAACTTCTCATAGTTCTAATTTTGAGTGTTTGATGAGGTAGCATAATTTGGAGCAAGGCCTTCCATAAATTGCTTTTCTGATCAATAAAATGCGACAAAAATATGGTTGTAATGGCAATAAAATGCTAAAGCAAACTATTTAAAAGTGTATTTCCTGTTCCAAGTCTCTCCGAAAAAGATTTGGTTCTGACTTTTATAAGTTAAAGATGTAGGATCGTTGGGCACTATTTACTCTCTATTTTGGTATGATATTGTCCGCTTCGGGCCAAGCCCTCACGGTTTTGTTCTTGGGTTTCACCCAAAAGGCCTCATACCAATAGAGACTTGCCCTTTCATTATGAACTCCAAATCCCCTTCTTATTTAGTCGATGTGGGACTATGATTGCCCACTCAACAAAAGACTGGACTGTGGAGTACCCTAACTGGGGAAAGGAAATCACTCAGTGCATATGCACTCGTGCATATGCGCATCCTCATCAAGGGCCAACACCATGTCCACATTTCCACATGCACAGACAAGAGAAAAAAAAATTGATGGATAATATCCACCTATACACAATCAAGACATTATCTCGGGTAAGAAATGGATTAAAAGGAATCAGTAGAAACATAGGGAGTTGCACACATTGGGTGAGAAATAAATCTATGTGTTTTGTAGAGCTGCTCGTGCTATCACTAATAATAAAATCAATAATATGAATGATTTCTTCACTTCATATAAATATCCACAAGTAGAGATGACATGAAGCCAAATGCACCACGTAAACGGTTATGGAAGTAAAGGTATTTGTTAAATTCATGGAGTATCATATTTTCGTCCTGCCCTTCTTACCCGCTTTATAACTATTCAACTTCCTGCAGGTCATGAAGATGATCATGTAATTGAGCTGGCCAATGAGGTGAGAAAGGAGCTTAGGAGGCTGAAGGAGAAGAAAATGAATGGAGCAAACATTGCTCTCAAATCGCATCTCCCCATGGTGCACCTTACCCATCTCCCAGAAACAACCGTTGTGGACTCGAGATGATCACTATCAACATCTGTCACGGACACAGAAAAAATCTAGCGCAAAGCGTTAACTATTGAGGATGAAGATGGATGAGGGATACATTGGAAAAGATATCAAATTTCTTAGCTATGAGGCCACTAACCTGTTTGGGTATCTGATCATTTCTGTTGACCATTTCTGTTGACGTATTCTGTCGGTTTCGGTTTCGTCTGTGTCATTCCATATTTCACTGAGATTGATGTTGTCACTGTTATCAAATACGCTGGGAAGCTGTATGAGTAGAGAAAATAGTCGTTGGCGGGTTTAATTTGAGGTGATATTGTCAGAATAGGAAAATTTACTGACTTGAGAGTTTATAGCTTGTGTTTCATCGCAAATGAATTGGGTGTACTTCCAAAGATTTTTTTTTTAAAGAACAGATAATCAGGAACTTCATGTGGCTAAAGAGGAAGATCGAACAGATTGATGCAGGTAGAGAACCTGGGCATTATCTGTTATAATTCAATAGAATCTCCTTGAATTGCCATCCTGCAATGAATCAGGACACGGCAAATGGGATAACCGCAACACACATGTTCTTCTCAACGGATAATTAATCATCAGGCTCGGCTAGCGTGCAGGGCAATCGATTTCTCTTCGCATCCTTTCACGGCGTAGGGGTGGAACAATTCGTCATGCGTTTGATATGAATTGGGTGGCAAACACGTAACCGTACGTGCGCATCATTAGAGGGAGTCACGCACGCTACAGAAAGATAATAAACCCACAAAATTAAGGATAACCATGCAAAGTTTACAGGAGTCGACATATAATTAATTAATTTAAAAAGATCTGATCTGATCTTGATTAGTCACAAGAAAGCAACAAAAGCTTCAAACATGCACAATACGCATATTTTGACCATATAGCTTCGCAAAATAACAGAAACTCGAGACAAATTAAAGGGCAAAAAACTAAACTTACAACAGTACCAACAGTTGTACACGTGAAAGCAAGAAGCTTCAAATTAACCTATATATACAACAACAACAACAAAAAAAAAAACTTGCACACTGAGAGAAACATACACAAAATTAATGACTAGTACAGCCCAGTGCAATACCCTGAACCAACTCCTGAGCTCTACATCCGCATTGAGCTACGCAAACTACAAAAAAACTTACACCCAAGTCCCACTAAGCAAAGGCTTAGCGGACCCGACCTCCCCAAACATCTGTATCAAGTCCGAGCACGACTTCTCGGCCTCGCCTCCTGCCACCTCCCCCTTCAGCTCCATCCCCAGCTCCTCCCAGGTCGTCGCGACGCCGCTATCAGGCAAAAACTCGCACCCCTCGTAGTTCAGGAAATCGGGCGGGGTCCGCCGCCGAGAACCGCCGCCCGCCCATCTGGCTCTGCAGGCCTCCGGCGGGGAACAACGCCCTGCGCTTCGCCCTCAGGCCGCGAACTGGTGCGGCGGAGGCGCGCCCTGCTCGGGGTTCTTGATTTGGATGACGAAGGAGGCTTCGGGTTCGTGTTGAGGGACTCCTGAGGCTCGTGTCTTCTGTTGGTTGGAGGAGGGAGCTCTAACTTGTAGATGAGGTGAGTGTGGGCTGTCTTGTTGGCGGACTGGTGTCTTAGGATACGGTAGATGCCTTCGGCGAGTGCTCCGTGCTGGGGGTTTGCGGCGGTGGCCACGGGTTGCGGTGTCGTATTCCTCTGTTTAAAAAAAATTGCTTTTAAGAATTAAGAGTGAGACTATATATGAATCATATATATAAGAAATTAAACTTCCTTGTATGTTCTGTAGTCCTCCAATTTAGGGGGTTGAGTTTCTCAGGGAAGAAAAATAGGTTCGCTAGTATTAATTTGCAGTCAAAAGTTCAATTGTGTTTATCGACAGTCGACTATCAATTTTCTGTTCCAAGTAAAAGCTTAATTTAATGCATATATAATTCAAAATGTATTGAAAAAAAGTATACACACTAAACACTGAAGTAGACGCATAACAAGGACAAATACAGTCGATCCTCTCAGCTACCCAAAAAAAAAGTAAAATAGCAGAGGGACTACAAGTTCAGAGATTATTATCTAGTAGTGGGTGGTTATGATTTTTTCTTATGAGTGTAATACACAGGGGTGTGGTGGGTATTAGATTTAGAATGCATCACAATCACCCACTAGATAATCAACGATTGAAATTAAAAGTAGTGGTCTCTCCACGATGTTTTTGTAGCGAAAAGAATGCAAATCATACTGCGACCAACTAATGTAACAATCGTCGCTCGGGTAGTCTGAACAAATTGTACAAAAGAACCATCTGTGCATTCAATATAGTTTGTGTTACTATAATTATGACATCGTTTGAGTAAAAATTTTCATTAATAATCTCGGAGGCAGTGATCATGAAGAACTTATCTATATGACATATACCTCCTTTTAGAGCAGTCTTTATATCATCTGCTCTAGTAGTGACCATCTCAACAAAACCCCAGTAGGGTCGGCTCCTCTGGCTCGGATCCGGCAGACTTTTCCGGCCCATGACGATGAATCGGAACAGAGGCTGCTCCTCAATATTCACTTCCTTCAATAATCACAATTCAGAAAACCAGGCTCAAGATGCAACTCGATCTCAAAAATGTCATCAGTACGTAAAGAATAAAAATGTATTCTCGCATATGGCAATTTTATATCCTCAAATTAACCAGGTAGCTAGCATGAAGTGTATATATATAATATGGAGTACTATAGGTAAACTGAGTTTGCATGAGGTCTTAAAAGTTACCCCCCTCTCTTTCAATTTCCTTTACACAAAACTAACATGGATGTAAATCTAACATCATAATTAAGTTAAAACGTTATATATATATATATATATGCACTCCATATTAATTATCATATATTTGATTAATATTACGTCGAAAAAAATGATGATATATATAGAGTATACCTCGCTGCCGTGGCCACCTTCGCTCCCACGTCGATCCTTCTCCTCATCATCGGCATCTTCCTCCTCTTCAATATCCTTGGCCTCTTCGGACATTTTCTCGCCTTCCTTGCCGGAATCCGGTGCCTGCTTTTCCTCCACAGACCGCTCGCCGGATTCCGGTCGGAGAACAACATACAGCCTTTGCACATCATCGGCACTGTGGGCTTCTTCCTTGTTCACCTTTGGTCTGTAGAAGAAGAATATCTCACCCCTTTCCTACAGTGTTTTAATTAGGGGTTATTAATCATGATTAGCTAGCTCTGTTTTCACTGCTTAATGAAGGTGCATGTACACTCACAAGCTCTAATTAGCATATTAATTAGGGATTCTGATCCTCCTCCATTATCTAAAAGGTAGTACAAGGACCACTACATAATCATAACCATTGATTATCTAGTTGGTGGTTGTGATTTTTTCTTTTGAGTACAAATTAGGAATGAGCGCAATACACGAAGAATGGTGAGGGTAGATTTAGATTGTATCATAATCGTCTATTAAGTAATCAACGATTAAGATTAAAAGTAGTGGTCTCTCCACTACTTTTTTTTTAGCGGAGATGATCCAAATCCATTAATTAGAAGCCAAAAAAAAAAGGCTAGGGAAACACACAAAAAAAAGCACTTTAATAACTTCAGCATATTAAGATAGAAATTTCATAATTACGTACGATGTTTATGAACTAGTGAAATTTAACAACAATTGAGACCCTGACCTAAACTATAAACACAAGATAACTACAAGAACATCTATATATAACAGTTGGGGTCAATTGTACTCGTTATACATAGCTCACCTGAAAATTAATGTGACAATTAATGTATATTTTCTCGGAAAAATCCCAAAAAAAACTTGCCCTTCAAATGCTCACTTAAAAGAACAACAGAGGGTTATATATAAAGAGAGACACTACCTTGATCTCTACTCTCGGGTCAGTTCTTGTCTTCACCTCTTCACCTTGCCCCATTTTTTTTTTTAATTTTTTTAACCTTTTCCTATTTCTCTAGAACTGTTTTTGGTAATAAGGGACCCTGAATTTAAATGGAACTCCTCCTAGCTAGTTTTGATTTTGCATTTATATATATATATATTATAAATTTTCATGTTGGAGAACGCTACAAGCGGTGAGTTGCTACTAGAAGATGGACACGTGGCTACGTACGCAGCTGAAACGTGGCAGGGACGGCTCGTTGTTGCTGACACGTGTAACTTATTAATGCATGTATGGTTTTGGTGGATGGGCCTATTTGATTATCTGGATCTCGGTTGGATTTGGCCCATGCACGGCCCAATTGGACCCATTACCTGTCGTAAATAATGCTCTCGAAAGGTTTCGCGTCCAAGAAATCCCTTCGTTAATCTTTATCTTATCCTAGTAGGTAGTGGAATAATACATAGGTGTGATATCATTAATTAGTTTAATAAACTAATTTCTCAAGTAATTTATATAGCACGTACTATTATAAAGCAATTAAAGTCAATAATTTAATTGCTTGATCTTCTTCTCCTAAATGAGTTTTTGTCGTATGAAGGTGACACTATTATAAAGCAATTAAATTATTGACTTTTTAATTTGATTTTTAATTACCCGTCTGCTTCCTGTTGCCATAAATCTTGGAAACTCTACCGTTTGAAAGCAAAAGCGAAGAGTGTTCGCTGCTCATATAAACATGGTGGTGGTCGGGGATGTGATTGTGACCAAAATCATCGAGAAGTTGGTGGATATTGGGCTCGAGTACGCAGCAGGACAGTATTCTGCTCGGGATACTCGGATGAAAGATGAGCTTGAAAGGCTCAAGGAAGCCCCTTCCTTGCATCAAAGCTGTTGTGGAGATGGCAGAAAGCGGGCGGCAAGAGATCGAGGGAGGGCTCAACGAATGGTAGATTTGATAGAATACGCTACGCAAAGTAGACCTGAAGTCAGAGGGCTTGGCGCTCTGCAAGAAGCTCTTAAGAAACTGGTATCGTCTGGGAAATTTCTCCTTGTCTTGGATGACGCATGGAATGATGACAATCGATCTGAGTGGGATAAATTGTTTGCTCCTTTGAGGAGCGGCCATAAAGGAAGCAAAATCTTGTTAACTACTAGAATTGTGACAGTTGCAAAAATGGCTGCATCTAGGGGTGGGCAAAAACCGAAACAAACCGGTTCAACCGAAAAAACCGCCCGAAAAAACGGATCGGTTAACCGAACCGAATTAAATGGATGAGAAGAAGTCTCTAAACCGCCCGAACCGAATTAAACCGGTTTGGATCCGGTTTGAACCCGTGAACCGCCCAAAAAAACCGAACCGAATTCTTAAACAAAAAGTAGCTGCGAGCCTTGGGTGTGAAGAAAATTTATGGCTGAATGTTTAGCATTTAAGAATTGTGGGGTGGAGTTTATACTAACATATATTTGAGTACGCTGATATAGTTAAGTGAGATTTTCGTAAATCAATACAAGATGTTGAGGTTGAAGGATAAATTTAGTGTTTTGGTCAAATTTCAGTGATAACATGAATACAGCTTGCTGGTGCTGGATATCAAATTAACCTATAGTATAGGCTGTCAAGGATATAAGATAATTCTTGATGAGAAAAAGACAGCTAAAAATTAACGAAAATCATCAAAAGGTGTGTGTGCCTGCCAAACATTGTTCTTTCTCTAAAAAAGGCTACATAATTACATGGTCCTCCTAGTGTATTAAGCTAGTTATATTCAGATCATACAATTTGATTAAGTGGCTTAGTACAGTTTTGATTGTTTCTTTTCAGTTTTGATTGCTTCTTTTCAGTTTTGGATATAACTAAAACTTACCCAGATTTTTGTGAAATGGAGTTAATTCGGTTCAAAACCAAAACCGAACCGAACCGAACCGAATTTCGGTTGGGCCGAATATTCGGATGAAGGGAAAAAAATCTGGATCTGGATGAGAGTTTTGAGAATCCGAAAAATTCGGATTGGATGCGGATTGGGCTTAAAACCGAACCGAACCGAATACGCCCAGCCCTAGCTGCATCGGCTTTGGGGGGATCAATAAATAAGCCAATGATATTGAAACCTTTAGATGATGACAACTTCCTATCACTTTTCAACCAATATGCGTTTGCTGGTGTAGACTCTTGTGATTATAGGAAGTTGGAATCCATTGGCGAGAAAATAGCAAAAAGGCTTGGGGGCTTACCATTGGCTGCAAAGACGATTGGGGCGTTATTGAATTCTAAGTTGGATGATGATCATTGGACCAGGATTTTGCAAGCGAACAATATATCCGATCAAGCACAGGAGAGGGATGGTGTGATGGCGGTTTTGATGTTAAGCTATCACCATTTATCAATGCATTTAAGACCATGTTTTGCTTATTGCAGCATCTTTCCTCAAGATTATTTTTTCAGGAAAGATGATCTAGTCTTCATGTGGATGGCTCTTGGCCTCATTCAAAAATCTTCCCAATATCCAAACGAGACATTGGAGGACACCGGAAGGGGCTACTTCGACGATCTAGTGAAACTGGGCTACTTCGACAAATTCGTGAACCTATCATTTTCCGAACAACATTACTACGGAGCTGGCTACAACATGCATGATCTTTTGCATGATCTAGCATGTAAAGTATCTCATGACGAATGCTTTACATTTGTTGGAGACATGTCGATTGATCAGATCCCGAATACAGTACGTCATCTGTATTTTGAAACAGACAAACCTGAGCTTCTTAAAGATGTGGGCAAACGGAAGAATCTCCGCGCACTTGTGTTAGTCTTCAGAGGATATGTCAATGAGCATGCTAAGGCTTTTGAAGAAGCGTTTAAAGTATTGGAAAGCATTCGGGTGCTACGCCTAGCTGTTGACGGCATGAACGTATTGCCGGATGCGATTGGTGACCTGAGGCATATTAGATATTTGTCGATTCTTCATCATATTTCTCGGTTACCAGGTTCATTCTGTAGGCTCTACCAGCTGCGAGTCCTTGACTATTATCTTTTTGCTGCCGGGACTGTTCTTGGCTTGAATAATCTTGTTAGTTTGAGACACCTGATGCCATGTGAAGTTTACTATGAAAAAATCGAGGGGATTGGGACATTAATTAACTTCACTCCAACGTTTGTCGTTCGCCGCTGATGTTTATAGATTGAGCGAATTGAAGGAGATGAGAGATCTGCGGGAACTGAAGATCCGTGGCCTTGAGAATCACAAACATCACGAGGAAGTCGGTACGATCGAGTTGCATCGCAAAAAGAACCTCCTCAAGTTAGAGCTGGTTTAGTCTGATGATGGTGGTGTGGCCGATGAGTACGAACTGATGCTTGATCGCCTGCAGCCACCTGATAGCCTCAGGGGACTAACGATCGAGGGATACCAAGGTGCCAGGTCTCCGCGTTGGATGGAACCAGAGTTACTGAAAAATCTGATGCGCGTGATTTTCGTTCTCCACATTGATAATTAGAAGGTGCGGAGAGCTGACGTCCGTGGCTGGCTTGTTCCGACGTCATCTCACGTCTCTCACGGGGTTGCAGATCGAGAATTGCCCTAGGCTGAGGATGCCTCCCAGCACGGTTACCCCAATTGATTGTTTCTCTCTCTCGTCACTCAAATGGCTTAGCCTTGTTGATTGTGGTGGATCGGACAGTCTCTGTAGAGTACCCTTTTTTTTTAGAAAATGAAAAAGTTTCATAACTTGAGGAGGTTTCATAACTTGTAAGTATAATTAATATGGGAGTTTCGAAATCCAAAAGTCAATAGAAATTTTTTTAAAAAAAACCCAAAATCCCCAAATCTTCAGTTGACAAAAAAAAAGAGAAAAACAAAAAAGAAGTGAGATCGGGGAAGGGAAAGAAGGAGAAAGATCAGAGCTTCTGACAGGTTAGTTTTATTTTTGGGAAAATTGCTTGGAGAAACCAAATAAAGTTGGGCTATGCATCCCCACCCCAAGTCTCAAAACCATAACCAAAAAGCCCTAAAAATGAAAAAAAAAGTGCAACCAAACCCCAAAACCCACTGCCCAAGAAAACATTCCCAAATTACCCTTCTTCTTCCCCATTTAAAACCCAATCCCTTTCTCCTCCTAATCTGGCCCAAGGTCTCCCCCCACCACCGCCTCCCCCTCCCCTACCACCGCCGACGTCGTAGCCTCCACTCATACGCGACCGTCTCCTCGTCCTCTTCCTCCGCCCTCCGCGCCCGTGTCGACCGAGTGGAGGAAACACCATTTGGGTTTGAGCCCCCTTTGTTTTGGCTTTGGGGAATCGTCTGAAGCAAGCAACCGCCCCCCTTCTTCATCCCTTGACGGGATCCTCGACCCCTCATATAAAATCAAAAATTTGCCCCAAAATTCTTAAATTTCACTGAAATGCATCGAGATATCTGAGGATGTTGAATGAATTCGTGGCTCGAGTTATCGCGTTAATTCTTTTAGCAGGGTGATTGTTGCAATCTTGACGGTCTTTGAAAGATTCTTCGATGTGTTCATTTCATGGTAACCTCACAATCTATTTTTTTTTATAAAAGTTTGGAATTGGATTATTGAGTCTTGATTATTAACTATATCGTCTAATTTTTATCAATAATTTGAAGGTTGCCATTGTCTGATGAGACCAAGCTAGCATTCTTCATCTACTTGTGGCACCCAAAAACGAAGGTAATATAATTACTAAAATCTCATTATGAATTCCACTTTGTATTTTAGGGTGGAATTGGAAAGTCGGTGTTTCAATACATGTATTAAAGTCGATGATTGTACTGATCGGCACGTGTTTTAATATTTTTAGGTATTAGAAGTTAGTCGGCAAGCCTTGATGGGAGAGAAACTGATCGAATGAGGAGGAGGAGGAGGAGGTTGAGAAGGCAATGATGTAGATGTCTGGGTTTATATTGGAGAGGAGGAGGAGGTTGAGAAGCCTTGATGGGATCTCTTTTAATGTGGTTATTAGTATAGTTGGTTTTGTGCAAATTTGTCATTTGAACGGTTAACAGAGTTCATCGGTTTGTAAAATTTGATAAGGAAATGGCATTTATGTATGGAAAAGGAGAGAAGAAGATCCTTTCATGCTGGAGAGCATCAACACAGATAGTTTCATGTGACATATGACGGTTTCATGTCACATATGTTGTTTTTATGAGACATTTGTTGTTCATACGGGATATTTTGGTGTTGTATGTGATATTTGGATGTTGTATGTGATATTTGAGTGTTGTTTGTGACATTTGTTGTTTATACGTGATATTTGGGTATTGTATGTGATATTTGGGTGTTGTATGTGATATTTAGGTATTGTATATGATATTTGTGTGTTGCTTGTGACATTTGCTGTTTATACGTTAAATTTGGGTGTTGTATGTGATATTTGGCTGTAATTTGTTGATAGTGAATGTGCTTATTTGTCACATGGTTGTAATTTGTTTATACGTGACACATGACTATAATTTATTGTATGTGATATTTAGATCTAATAGAGTCATTCCACATCCTCCTTCATCATCATCCCCTTATTCTTCTTTTCCCACCAAGACCTAGGAATAAATAACTCGTCCTTCAAATACTCTGACACTCCTTTTCACCTTCAACTCAAACTCAAATACTCTGACACTCCTCTTCACCTTCAACTCAAACTCAAATACTTTGACACTCCTCTTCACCTTCACCTTCACCTTAAACAATACCAAAATGTCACAAATATCATATACAACACCCAAATGTCACAAATTACAGAAATAAATCACATACAACGCCCAAATGTCACGTATAAACAGCAAATATCACAAGCAACACCCAAATATCACAAATTACAGCCAAATATCATATACAACACCCAAATGTCACGTAAAAACAGCAAATGTCACAAACAACACCCAAATATCACAAATTACAGCTAAAAATCACATACAATACCCAAATATCACGTGTAAACAGCAAATATCACAAGCAACACCGAAATATCACAAATTTTAGTCATATATCACATACAACACCCAAATATCACGTATAAACAACAAATATCACAAGTAACACACAAATATCACATACAACACCAAAATATCATATACAACACCCAAATGTCATAAATTACAGCCAAATATCACATACAACACTCAAATATCACGTATAAATAACAAATATCACAAGCAACACTTAAATATCACATACAACACCCAAATATCACATATAACACCCAAATGTCACGTATAAATAACAAATATCACATACAACATCCAAAGTACAAAAAATATTCTCGCGGAGGATGTGAAATGACTCTATTAGATCTAATATCACATTCACTATCAACAAATTACAGCCAAATATCATATACAACACCCAAATGTCACGTATAAATAGCAAATGTCACAAGCAACACCCAAATATCACAAATTACAGCCAAATATCACATACAACACCCAAATGTCACGTATAAACAGCAAATGTCACAAGCAACACACAAATATCACATATAATACCCAAATATCACATACAACACCCAAATATCACATACAATACCCAAATAGAATTTTATAGCAAAATTAAACAAGTTGACTTCCGTTTCCTTATCAAATTTTACAAACCGATGAACTCTGTTAACCGTTCAAACGACAAATTTGCACAAAACCAACTATACTAATAACCACATTAAAAGAGATCCCATCAAGGCTTCTCAACCTCCTCCTCCTCTCCAATCTAAGCCCAGACATCTACATCATTGCCTTCTCAAACCTCCTCCTCCTCCTCCTCATTCGATCAGTTTCTCTCCCATCAAGGCTTGCCGACTAACTTCTAACACCTAAAAATATTAAAACACGTGTCAATCAATACAATCATCGACTTTAATACATGTATTGAAACACCGACTTTCCAATTCCACCCTAAAATACAAAGTGGAATTCATAATGAGATTTTAGTAATTATATTACCTTTGTTTTTGGGTGCCACAAGTAGATGAAGAATGCTAGCTTGGTCTCATCAGACAATGGCAACCTTCAAATTATTGATAAAAATTAGACGATATAGTCAATAATCAAGACTCAAGAATCCAATTCCAAACTTTTATAAAAAAAATAGATTGTGAGGTTACCATGAAACGAACACATCGAAGAATCTTTCAAAGACCGTCAAGATTGCAACAATCACCCTGCCAAAAGAAATCAAGAAATCCCAATTCCTTCTCAAATCATCAATAACCTTATATTTTCCTTCTAAAATTTCAATTTCAAAAAATAAATTTAAGAAAATGATCTCACTAGTATTGGAACCAGAAATGGAGTTGCTCTATGCTAGCTTGCCCCACCTCCATCATTTTAAAGCATTCAAATGTTTGATACGCGTAGCCAAGCATCAATCTGCATCCAAATAAACCCTAATTTAACCCCCAAAGCCAAAATAAAGCATCAAATTTGACAACAAAACAGGCAGAAGAAGCATGAACGCGAGAACTCGAGCCACGAATTCATTCAACATCCTCAGATATCTCGATGCATTTCAGTGAAATTTAAGAATTTTGGGGTAAATTTTTGATTTTATATGAGGGGTCGAGGATCCCGTCAAGGGATGAAGAAGAAGGGGGGCGGTTGCTTGCTTCAGACGATTCCCCAAAGCCAAAACAAAGGGGGCTCAAACCCAAATGGTGCTTCCTCAACTCGGTCGACGCGGGCGCGGAGGGCGGAGGAATCGGACCATAGAAGACCAGATCAGGAGGACCTTGGGCCAGATCAGGAGGACCTTGGGCACGTCGGCGGTGGTAGGGGGAGAGGCGGTGGTGGGGGGAGACCTTGGGCCAGATTAGGAGGAGAAAGGGATTGGGTTTTAAATGGGGAAGAAGAAGGGTAATTTGGGAATGTTTTCTTGGGCAGTGAGTTTTGGGGTTTGGTTGCACTTCTTTTTCATTTTTAGGGCTTTTTGGTTATGGTTTTTAGACTTGGGGTGGGGATGCATAGCCCAACTTTATTTGGTTTCTCCAAGCAATTTTCCCTTTCTTTTTTGATGGTTTGTTTTGCATACATTAAAAAAAAAAACTCACGCCTTTCTACCAGCTGCCGGCATCATCTCCGACATCGTCGGACGATCTACGATCACCCTTGACCCAAATCAAATGGGTTCTGTGTTCACTGTTCAGGTTGTAAGATGAATCAGTTGCTGTATTTTGATATTTTGAGTACTATATATGTTGTTGTATTACTGATGCGTGGCTGGTGTAGTCGTACTCAATTCTTTTTCTTGAATAAAAGTTTGCATTTGCCGACCCCCCCAAAAAAAAAAGAGAGTTGATCTTGGATGGCGGCAGTGACATTTTAAAATCATTGGTGCTCAATGTTTTGAGTTTTCATTGTTAGATTATTAGAAATGTATACTTATGAAAACCGAGAATTCTCATAATTAATCTTTGATATTTTAGTTGGAATTACAGTTATAATTGTAATTTATTTTTTACTGGTGTATATAAATTACAAAAAAAACAACTCGTTTTATAGGTTCAAATATCAGGACTGGCACAACAAATTAGATTCTTCAGGCTCCCAATTTTTGTTCATTGTATGTATATTAAAATTTGTTAATGATGGTTGTTATTTTTTTTCTTTTCACATCGTGTTAATAAAAAAACTATTTTCTTAGAAATTTAAAACGCAAACCCTATTTTCCAAATCCTAGAACACCAATAGCTTGAAACTAATAAGTACAAGCGACGTAAATATTCAATAAAAATAAATGATTTGAAGCATCATACTGAAAAAAACTCCTATTTTGATATTTTTTGGGAGTCAAAACTTTGAAGATGGAATCCTACTTAAAACCTGAGGGGGGGGAACTCTAAAAAAAAATCACTAAATTAATTTGAAACTCTCTTGAAACTAAGTAGGTAGCACAATAAAGATTTCATTAAATGAATGGTTTGAAACAGTTAAGACAATGAAGATATTTTATTTCTTGGATGTTAACCAAGGTACCGGTTAACATCTGCAAGCTAATCTTATTTTTATCTAAACAAATCAATCAGCGCCGTTCGGCTTATAGTTAAAGAGGATCCAAGCTGTCCCCTCCCCACCCCAAAAGCTAAGCTGAGCCTCAAAACAGCTGTTGAAAATAAACTGATTCAAACTTTCTGCCTCTTCGCTCATTCAAAGCTCAGCACATTTACAATTACATCCATCTACAAATACTACGTAACAA